GATTTCTATTCATATAAGAAGAGGGCCATAGCGTCTGCTATTCTCATCACATCCCCAATCTCATAAACTAGAAATCCAAATATTTGTTTCCAAAGCAAAGGTATATTTACATATTCAACAATGGTGAACTCCAAGAAGATTATTGAGATGGCTAAGAAATGGCAAAAGGTGGCTTCATTGGGCAAAAGTGCCTCCTCATCGCAGACCGGTGCTCAACTACATTCTGATGCTTGCAGTACATCGGTAGCAGAGAAAGGTCACTTCATTGTATATACCTCGGATTCGAAAAGGTTCATGGTTCCTTTGAGATTTCTGGGGAGTGTTATCTTTGTAGAACTCTTGAAGATGTCTGAAGATGAGCTTGGACTACCAAGTGATGGTCCTATTCTATTGCCTTGTGACTCAGTGTTCATGGAGTATGTTCTAACATTGCTCAGAAGGCGAGGCTCAAAAGCTATGGACACGGTGTTGTTAGATACTGTTTTCAAGCACCAACGTTTCCCATGTTCTTCGCACATTATAGGGTTGAATCAACAAGTTGTTCGTAGCTTCTGAATCTTCTAATTCCTTGTAAAGTGTTACAATTTTGTAGATGAAGTTTAGATAACGGTATGTGATTAACAAATCTTTCAGCTGCCTAACGAATGAAAAATATTCAGCTTTCATCTGGAATTGATTAACGTTATGCAGTAAATATTATTAGAATCGTTGTTAGAAATTCCAATTGTGAGTGCATGTTTTAACTTCTACATCCTCGGAAGTTAATGCGTGAAAATGCCAAAAAGACAAAGATCATGGTAAATTTTCTTAAAGCTATCTTAAGCTTATGAGGTTTCATCCTCCGAAATAAAGCTTATTTGCTAGATTGACTATAGATATAGTAGTACGAATTAAAATGGACGGCTACTTTTGTTGGCAGATGCAATAATTTTTTGGCTATGGACTAATGCTGAACTTGCTGAGGTTGGAGTAAAAAAAAGAAAATTGTGGACAATAGATATGACTTTTGTGTAGCACAGGTGATAGATTTGTTGAGAAAAAATTTAGAGTACACAACTGACAATAGATATGACTTTTGTGTAGCACAGGTGATAGATTTGTTGAGAAAAAATTTAGAGTACACAACTCTATACTTACTAATATTGGACTCAAACAAGTAAACTAATCACTTGTATTATACCCAAAATAAAGGACACTACAACACTTTTCAAATATCACTCATAATTTGAAGAGAAATACAAACACACAAAAGAAAGCTCACAACTCACTTATTTTGGTGGACACTCACACAAGCTTACACTACACTCAAGCTCACTTCTTTCCTGCTTAAACAAATGAGAGCCCATGCAAGACCCCTATTTATAGTTGAGTAAGAGGGCTAGGAAGTGTGTGAAAGAATCAATCCTAACCATACATTAGTAAAAAGTTTCTAGAAGAATAAATACTAGCCATACACTTGTATCATCCTAAAAACGTCTTGGTAGATATTTTGCAAGATGTTTCTAGCTAGAAAGAAGTTCTAGAAAATTATTCTAGAACAATCTAAGTTGGTGAGAGATTATAACACTCCCCCTCATCACCAACTTTATTCGCTCTTGCAATCACTCCAAGTCATTCTCGAAATTCTGTAACTTAGAAGGATTCAAGCTCTTGGTGAAAATGTCCGCTACTTAGTCTTCGCTCTTGATTGGTTGCATCTGTATTTCTCCTTATAGCACATTTTCTCTTATGTAGTGATGATGGATCTCTATGTGTTTCGTTCTTGCATGAAAAATTGGATTCTCTGCCAAACGAATTGCCGAATGATTGTTACAGTACAACGGAACTGTATAATCTACTGGTTGATGTAGATTGTTCATTAGTTGTATCAACCATGTACTCTATTGAGCTACCATTGCTGTTGCTCGATACTCAGCTTCAGTGATTGATAATGATATAGTCGGCTGTCTCTTGCTACACCAAGAATTTATTCCAGAGCCAAGTCTAAACAAATACCCTGTTGTTGATCTTCTGGTGTCATGATCTCTTGCATAGTCAGCATCGTAGTAACCAACTAACTTGTAGTCTCCACCTTTCTTTTACAAAAGACCATAATCAATTGTACTCTTTACATATCTCAGCATACGCCGAACTGCTTCCAAATGATGCTTCTTTGGATTTTGCATGTACCGACTCATCACACTAACTGCATAAGAAATGTCAGGCCGAGTCAAGGTTAAGTAGATCAGACTGCCTACCAATTTTTGATACATTGTTGCATATTTCAAATCTTTTCCTTCATGCGCACACATTTTGGCATTTGGTTCCATCATCGTCGAAATCGGCTTGCATTCAAGCATTCCGAACCTCTTCAACAAATCTTTGGAATATTTTTGCTGACAAAGAATTTTTCCTTCTTGTGTGCGATCAACCTCTAGACCAAGGAAGTGCTTGAGATGTCCAAGTTCCTTCATCTGGAAACGAACTGATAAATTATCCTTCCTCCTAATAATTTCAGCCTCATCATCACCGATTATCATTAAATCATCTACGTATACTAGCACGATAGCTAGCTTTCCATCATTGACTTTGACAAATAACCTGGAATCTGCAAGTGTTACTGAATAACCACTTTATGTTAGAAATTTAACAATCTTACCATACCACACACTGGGTGCTTGTTTCAAACTGTAAAGCACCTTCTATAGTTTACACACATATTCAGGATGATCTTGGCTCTGAAAACCCATTGGCTAAATGTAAAACCCCGTGAATTTTAGAAAATAGTATGAATTATATTGATAAATGAGCTCTAATTATGATGAATATCATTTATGGATGAATTATTATGCTAACAATTGATTTGAGATCAATTAAGAGTATATATAAGAGTATACAAAAGTTAAACAAGCATAAAGAAGAAATCTAAAAAATGACCAGTTAAGAGTATATCTACATTACACACTGATACAGTTCGAATCTAGAAACACTAAAAAGAAAAAAGTTGTAGTATCTTCAATAGATTTCCAACACATCTGAAATCATCTCATTCTGAGATCGGACATGAAAGTTACAGCCAAAATACCGAAGACTATTTTCCCAATCTGACTAGATCTCATTCTGAGATCGGACATGAAAGTTACAGCCAAAATACCGAAGACTATTTTCCCAATCTGACTAGGTTTCTAGCTTTAGGTTCGGGCTGTTTTGATTTGGGTTTGCAGTTATTTATATACAAATTTACACACGAAAATACATCTTTTCATCAGTATTCCAAACTCTAGAAGCCCATCTTTCTCTCTCTCTCAAACTCTAATTATAATTTGGTGGCTTGCGACAGTTCGAGCAACCATTTGGTGGCTCGCGGCCATGCGAGCCACCATTTGGTGGATCGTCGCACCCACGCGAGCCATTAGCTTTAGTCCTCGTCTTTTTGACGTGTTTTGACCGCCACAGGCTTTTTCGGTTCATTCAGTTTGGACTTGTTTCGCCGTTATGCGCATTTCTTTATTTCGTCGACATGCCTGCTTCACCGATTCACTTTACGCGTTTAGTTAGCTTGTAGGCAGCTGACGAGTGCACGGGCTACTTGGAGCAAGCTGATGAGTGTGCGGGCTTGTTGTAATGTCATCAGTGATTCGTCACTTTTTTGTTTTGACGGCTCGTCGTCTCGATCTATGTTCAGGACCTATAAGCAACTTTTGACACCTACAACAAGTCTAACTGGAAGTACGTAAAAGCCACCCTGGCAGCCGAGTCGTGTCAAAATGACTCGGCCAAGACCAAGTGGCTCGGTAAAGGCCGAGCCACCCTATGGTCTCGCGCCCAGAAATACCGAAAACACATGTTTTGATAGTTTTCTCGAGATTCTTTCGTTCTAGAGTCTCCCCAACTGTTTTGAAGATATCCCTAAACGTGGTTAAGCTGTTATTAACTAAAGATAAGATCAAATCATCAATTCCTATCTGAAAACGCTGTGTCCGAAGCCTATAAATACAAGCCTAGGGTCCTATACGCAGGGGATCTGAAATTTAGGCGAGGTGCTGTCCCTGTGAAGAGTGAATCACGAATTTCAGAGAGGCTAGTAGATCTTGGCGAAGTTCTTCAGCATAAAGAGGGAGAGTTCGAGAGATCTGAAGCTCATTCCTCTTTCCTCCGGATCAAACTTGGTTTTGATCTCGAGAAGAGTAGTAATCTCACTTGGTAGAGATTATTTACTTCTGCGATTGTTTCCTTTGTGAAGTAAGATAATTGAATTTTTGTTTTGTTAACCGAATCTAATCTGCATCGGTCTACGGACTAACGTGTCCCCGACACAAGTAAAGATCTCACGCAAGCAGCGGGTGATAAACGTGTAATGGAGTAGTCTTATAAAAAGATTAACTCTTTTGAATTCATTGTAATTGATAAACGTGTAATGGATTCAACAAATAAACTAACTTTCAACGCAGACATAGAGGATGGTTGGATTGCGACTTCAGGATGATATCAAAAGGAGGTTGGCTGAATATCACAGTAAAGCTATGCACAAGTCAAGTCAAGATCCAAGATTAAGCTTCATGAGCAAATCAACTTGGTACACTAGTTTAGGATTTTTATATTATGTGTAAATGCTTTAAGCTCAATATCACACATACACACAATTCTTGATTTTGTGTAATTATAAAAAAAATATTGAGTTATTAGTTTATAGACTTCAATTTCTTTTTATACATATTTTATTAAGTCAATAAAACCATTTGAAAAGATTTCAAAACATTGTTTAACTCAAAAGTGAAAAATCAAGAAATTTATATACACACGTATTTATAAGTTTTGTAAAACTGAGAGATTTCATAAACGGGGAATAATATTTAGAAAATTTCTTTTGTAACATGTTCATTTATATGTTTATAAACAATTTCCCAAATTTTATATTTTTTGGAATTTATTTGATATTTTTAAACAAGGTTCAAAAAGTTGATATTTACTGTTCATTTCAGGTTCTGTGTACGTTTTGAGTCGACTTGCTACAATAATGAGTCGACTGATAAAGTATTGCGTAGAAGGTGTTTTTAATCTGTTGAGTCGACTGAAAAATCAATGAGTCGACTGATACAGTATATAGTCGGCTCTTATCTGTCATAAGTCGACTCATGAAGTGTTATACAGTTAGTTGTTTCATCTGCTAAGTCGACTTACAATCCAATGAGTCAACTCATGTAGATACAAGTCGACTCATGTCTGTTATAAGTCGACTCATAATATGATCATTGCACAGTAACGACTAGTTTCCAGATTTTGGTTTTTAATATTTTTATTGGTTTTTGTTGGTTTCTTGGGCTGCTTTCTTCTACTGAAAATAACAATCAAGAAAGACAATGGCACATGACTGTCCCTTGAAGACTTCCCTCAACCAAATTGCAGGATCATATATTTATCTATGGAATCTATGAACCATGCTCCATGCATTCAGCATGTGTTCTAAATAAAAAGTGTACCTTAAGAGTGAGAAAATGTCACACATGGGTGACCCTTCAAAATTTAAACCACAATTGCATCTCACAGCGTAACCTTAAGTTTTCACCAACTAATCTCATGAAGTGAAGATTTGCAACTTCCTAAATTAAAAGCTCAATTTGGAACATGGCTTGTCTAACAGAAGAAGAATGGTGATGCTGTTTGCTGGACCCTGTACTAACCTATGTCTCGTCCAATGGAAAGTAACTGCACAACCAAATCCAAACATCTTCATCGAATTTCATCTTCCCATCTGCTAAGCACATGGCTCTGTTTCCTCTCCAAGACTGCATACCAACTTACGCAGCTTGTCATGGGCTGATTTCTATTCATATAAGAAGAGGGCCATAGCGTCTGCTATTCTCATCACATCCCCAATCTCAGAAACTAGAAATCAAAATATTTGTTTCCAAAGCAAAGGTATATTTACATATTCAACAATGGTGAACTCCAAGAAGATTATTGAGATGGCGAAGAAATGGCAAAAGGTGGCTTCATTGGGCAAAAGTGCCTCCTCATCGCAGACCGGTGCTCAACTACATTCTGATGCTTGCAGTACATCGGTAGCAGAGAAAGGTCACTTCATTGTATATACCTCGGATTCGAAAAGGTTCATGGTTCCTTTGAGATTTCTGGGGAGTGTTATCTTTGTAGAACTCTTGAAGATGTCTGAAGATGAGCTTGGACTACCAAGTGATGGTCCTATTCTATTGCCTTGTGACTCAGTGTTCATGGAGTATGTTCTAACATTGCTCAGAAGGCGAGGCTCAAAAGCTATGGACACGGTGTTGTTAGATACTGTTTTCAAGCACCAACGTTTCCCATGTTCTTCGCACATTATAGGGTTGAATCAACAAGTTGTTCGTAGCTTCTGAATCTTCTAATTCCTTGTAAAGTGTTACAATTTTGTAGATGAAGTTTAGATAACGGTATGTGATTAACAAATCTTTCAGCTGCCTAACGAATGAAAAATATTCAGCTTTCATCTGGAATTGATTAACGTTATGCAGTAAATATTATTAGAATCGTTGTTAGAAATTCCAATTGTGAGTGCATGTTTTAACTTCTACATCCTCGGAAGTTAATGCGTGAAAATGCCAAAAAGACAAAGATCATGGTAAATTTTCTTAAAGCTATCTTAAGCTTATGAGGTTTCATCCTCCGAAATAAAGCTTATTTGCTAGATTGACTATAGATATAGTAGTACGAATTAAAATGGACGGCTACTTTTGTTGGCAGATGCAGTAATTTTTTGGCTATGGACTAATGTTGAACTTGCTGAGGTTGGAGTAAAAAAAAGAAAATTGTGGACAATAGATATGGCTTCCGTGTAGCACTAGTGATAGATTTGTTGAGAAAAAATTTAGAGTACACAACTCTATACTTACTAATATTGGACTCAAACAAGTAAACTAATCACTTGTATTATACCCAAAATAAAGGACA